GTAGGGCCCTGACTTTCCTCATCACTACCCGACCGAGGTTAGACTTGGCACTTATTGAGTACCGCTGTGGTGTACTCATGCCCTTTCTGCGCATGTTTTTCATGTGCAGATCCAGGTACTTTGACTCAGTCTTATCACCCTTGAGGCGAGGCGACTTTTCCAGAGACTTCGAGGTATATTTTCCACGTCCGCAGACTGAGGAGTCCCTTTCTATTCTCTCTTTAAGTATTAGCCCTTCTGTATTTTCTTCGTTTAGACATTCTAGAGTTAGACACTTGTAGACATTCAAAAGCTTGTGATTTCATGAGCTTCCGGGTTTTGGGAAATGTTGTTAGTTACGAGAGTTTGTATTGTATATGCCGAGCGGCATCTTAAACACTGTTTCATTTTGTTATTTTGGTTTTTAAATTATTCCTTTCGCAAATTTTTTTTATTTTTGCATTTGTTAGGCTTACCTAGTCGTAGAGACTAGGTACCGTCACGATAGTTCACGGAGGGCAAACTGGGGTCGTGACACCACTCCCTAAAATCTTTTTTCTCAAGGATACACAATCCCGATTTTATTCCTTTCAATAAAGAAATAGTTTAGATTTTGTTGCAATGACTCACAAAATTTTCCTAGTAAAACCTGGGGCAGAAAAATATTCGTTCGTTTGTTTGTTTTGGTGCTTGAACAGGTTTTTTACCATAAGGCATAAGGTTTGAGATGACCAGAAGAAGAAGTCTCAATACAATAAAAGAAAAGAAAAACAAAAAAAAAGAAGTGAACTCTAAGTGTAGAAGCAGAGAAAAGATGCGGACCGCTCAAAATATGACTGAAGTCACAAGCTTTGCATGTCCTGCCTTGATCCAAAATGTTGAAGAAGAATGAACCAGCGGTTGCAGCTAACGACCATCAAGATTCAGATCAGAGTTTGCAGGAAGAACCAGCCAAGACCCAAGATCGAGCTTTAGAAGGTTTATAGATAGGAATCTCTTAACTCATAGTTGATAGGTTTAGCTAGTTTTGCTTTTTCATCTTTTATTTCGGTGTAATAAGGAGCTCAGCAAGTAAAAACAGCAGCAACAGCAGTGAAATCACAGTTTCTTGGTAGTCCCAGCTACCAAAACTTCCAGAACTACACTGACCTGATTCCTTTATAGCCAAGGATATGTAGGCAACCTCCGAAGCAAGGTTCGATCAGATTTTTTCCAAAAGATGCTTCCCATGGAGTTTCAAACGAGCAAAAATCGCTCGTAATTGCTCATTTTATCTTTTCCCGAAAACCCTTTGTGTTTCCGAACAAAGAAGGGCAGCTGTGAGTATATGATTTTTGCCCTATAAGAAATACTCCTATAAAAATAAAGAAAATAGTTTTTTTCCAGATTATTTGCAATCTTATAGGATTTTTGCAGGATTTTTTATTAATTGTTTGCATTTTTGTGCACGTTTAATTTTATTAAAATCATGAATAATACCAAAAATACCATGCATTGCATTGAGATTTTGTTTTCATGTTTTAGGATTAATTATTTAATTAATTGCTTTATTAAGATGAAAATCACAAAAATTGGCTCACTTCTACATTTTTAGCTTTTAATGTTAGATTAGTAATTTTTCTCTTTTAATCTAGGATCAAATAATATTTATAAATATTATAATTAGATAACTAGCTTATTCTTACAATTTAGATTAATTTAGGAATTTGATTTAGGTTTTTTTCTTAATTAATGAAAAAGAAAAGAAAAGGAAATAAGAAAAGGGATTTAATTTGAATTTGGGCCATTTTTAATACCCAAAATCGGTTCAAACCACCCAGGCCCAAATAACCAACCTACCCGGTCCACCCCTGATAAACCCCAAATGACCCCGTATTGTATCCCCTTTCTCCCAGCTGTTGATCATCATAAATCAAACGGCTGGGAACTGGCCATCCAATTACTACAAAATTGTCCTAACACAGACCCTCCCCCTCCCCCATCGAACCCCTTCATTTCCTTCTTCGTGTTTAATTGTTTCTGATTTAGCCGCATGATTTAGGTTCTCTCTTCTTTTTCTTTGACTGTTAGTTTCATTATTTACATGTATTTATTAGAGTAACTGAAACTTGTTTTTCCATCATTTGAAATTTGATCTGCTTAAGTTCAATTTTTAATTAGGTTTTGATAATTTGTTTGCTCTGTTTCTGCCATCAGTGTTGGTTTAAATTCAGTGTTATTTAGGGTCAATTAGATAAACAGTTTTTGTTTACTAATTAGGTTAGTCATAGTTTAAATTGTATCATTTTCGATTCTGTTTGCCACTTTGATTTGTATTCTGATCCTTTGTTGACTGTTGTCTTTGTTTGCCTTAGTTTGTAAAGCAGTAGAAACTTGTAGGGTCTTGTTTGAACTAAAAGAAACTTAAGGGAATTTCAGAACTTACAAAATAAATATCTAGGAAGGGGAAGTTTCTAGAAACGGTACAGCTGTCCTAGCTGTTATAAAACATGCTGAAAATAGGATAAGGAGGACAGTTGCACTGTACTATTTTCAAACTTTAGGATAAGCAATATTCCTAAAATATACCCTCCCTAGGCAGCCTATATATAGGCTACTCTATTCTGAAAATGATAGACACAATCAGATTTTGAAAACCCTAGAAATACTCTCTAAAAATTCAGCTGCACTGTTCTTAGGAGTTTATTCCTCTTTTCTGGTTTTTAGCAAAAGAAAACTTAAAGAACTTTGTGGGATCTTCTGTTGGTCACAAGTCAAAAATGGTTTGAATCTGAGGATTTCGTGTATCTCTGGGGGTTTACTATTGTTTGGTTTAAGGTTTTATGTTGCTGCACCATTGTTCTAAGCTTTCAGCCATCTTTTTCATCTATTGGTTGCTGGTTTTGTTGCTGGTTTTAGGTATTAACCTCAGCCTTTCTCCATGTAATGCTTTAATGATTTGTTGAAATGATATAAAATTAGAGTTGTAAATGATATGTGTAGAAATGAATGTCTTTCATGCTCGTAGTAGTTTTATATTGATATGGATTTGATTGGTTTTGATTATGTGAGTTTAAAGTTTGGAGTGATTTGGCATGAATAGCTTAGTTAATACATGGATGCTTTGTAGCTTTATCTTGCAAATAGCCTTGTTTTGAAGATGTTCTTTTAGCCAAACATTCTGTTTGTTAATACTGATCCTGAAATTTTTTAGTCATGTCTTTCTCTTATTTCTTCTATTTAAGTGGATGGTCTACTGTTTACTTGAGGTCATTTGGGTATGTCTGCTGACCATGAGCTATTACCTGTAGATTTGGCCACTAGTTGGCCAAATCAGCAAGCTCCAAAGCTGAAAGTTAGGATCTTACTGTTGGCATGCTGAATCTGGTACTTTTTCATGAGAGATATCAAGCTTTTGATGGACAAATCGTGTCCAAAAGAGACAGGGATTCTTTAGGTTACTAATTATACGAAAATTGTAATAGATTAATTGTTAACGTAGTAGTTCATGTATTGATAGGTTCTAATATAATATGCTTGATTTTGGAAAGCCCTTTTTTTTTATTTGGAGTGTTGTAATGAATTAGGCTTTAATTTCATGTATTGAGAATCAAAACAACTGCTTTAGGAGTGTATTCATTTTGTCATCACATTATCATAAGCATAGTGGTGCAACGTGCCAGGCTATGAGCCCGATCTTTAAGGGTAAAAGGGCTATTCTCTGATTCAAGTAGGATGAACTTGTGAGTAAGCCCAGATGGGAAAAACAAACCTCAAATGAATCTGGGCCTAGGCCATTAGTCCTGGACCTTAAGCCCAATAGCTCGGTTCAGTTGTAAAAATTTCTTTTATGAATTATAGTATAAATGTATGCTTTGTATATCTTGCAAGTCATGTATCGTGTAATTAATTTTCAAATTAGAATTGTGCTTTGATCTTTAGATTCTGATTTTACTTAAAAGCGAATTGGATTATAATTGTTGCAAATGTGTAAGTATGGTCAGTTCAGATGTAGAGGTGGATAGGCCCAGCTAGAAAACAAGTAGTGATTGGGTCCACCTATTATAAGCCCAATATGGGCCAGTTTTGTTCAAATTCGGACAAGTTAAGGCCTTTGAGTCTCTTTCATTTTTGGGCTGAATTCTGAGCCCAATACAGCTTCAATGTTGGCCCTGACTAAATAACCTAATGGATATATAGCTTCTATTCAATTCAAATTAGTTTTAAATAAGAACATTCTTAGATTGCTTTAATTAAGTATAATTCTTTTAAAATAAATTGAGGTGCGCCATCTACAATTGAATCACTTATGGCCCTCTTATTAATATTATAACTTAGGTATTAAACAATCTTGAACATTCGTAGCTTGCTTTAGGCACGATTTAGTCTATTATCATGATTATGTATACGTTCGCGTAACATAATTATGATTTTCTTCTAAAAATAAATCGAGGTATGCGTTCGCGCAACTTCGACCAAACTTTCTTAATACTAATAAAGCATGATTAATTGTGGGCACGTACGCGTGACATGATTCTTGACGCACCAAACAAAGAGTACACGTATGCGTGACTCGTTTTAAAAATAATTCCTTAATTATGAATAAATCAAGCATTAAAAGCGGTAAAAAGGTAAATGCACATAGGTTCTAAAATAAGTAATTAGACAACTTAAGCCAAGTATAAATTGCTAAGTGACCGTTCTAGAACCACGGAACCCCGGAATGCCTAACACCTTCTCTCGGATTAACAGAATTCCTTACTTAGAACTTCTGGTTTGCACTTTTAAATAAAGTCGAAAAATTTCCTCGATTTGGGATTTAAAAAATAAACCGGTGACTTGGGACACCAAATAAACTATTCCAAGTGGTGACTCTAAAAAATAAATAAAATAATTCCATTTCGATTAATGTCACTTTAATTGAAAAAACTCCCTTATACACCATCTCTGGTGGTAAAAAGGAGGTGTGACAATGTGGAGCTCATCAATCTGGGCCAAAACTTTATTTCAACGTAAAAAGAATGGGTTATTATTGGCCAACCATGGTAAAATATTTTTTGGATTATGCTCGAAGGTGTAAAGCTTGCCAATTCCATGCTAACTTCATACATCAACCACCTGAAATATTGCACCCAATTGTTGCCTCTTGGACATTTGATGCTTGGGGTTTGGATGTTGTTGGCTCATTGCCAAAGTCTTATGGTGGACATTTATACATTTTGGCTGAAACTGATTACTTCTATAAGTGGGATAAAGTTGTTTCTCTTAAGGAAGTAAAGAAGGAAAATGTGGTTAACTTCATTCGAGTCAATATTATCTATCACTCTGGCATTCCTCGATATATATTGACAGAAAAAGGTAAGCCATTTGATAACAAGTTGATGAATAAAGTATGTGATCTTTTTTACTTTAAGCAACGTAATTCCTCCATGTATTATGTTGCTGCATTGCTGAAGCATTTAACAAGACACTCTGCAACTTGTTGAAAAAGGTTGTCTCTAACTCTAAAAGAGATTAGCATGAGAGAATGGAAGAAGCTATTTGGGCATATAGGACCACAAATCATACACCAACGCAAGTGACTCCTTATTCACTTGTTTATGGAGTTGAAGCAGTCCTTCCACTTGAGCGTCAAATCTCATCGTTACGACATGCCATTCAAGAAGGACTCACTGATGAAGAAAACGCTCGGTTGCACCTTGAAGAATTGGAAGCTCTTGATGAAAAGAGTCTAAAAGCTCAACAAAGCCTTGAATGTTATCAAGCTCGCATGTCTCGATCTTTTAACAAAAGGGTGCGCCTTAGATCTTTCCAAGTGGGTATCCAAGTTCTTGTGGTCAAAATTCCAATTATTACCTCTCATCGATCTGGGGCAAATTCTCTGCTAAGTGGGATGGACCATATGTTGTACAAGAGGTATACTTAAGTGGCGCTTACAAGATAGTTGACTCAGAAGGTTTTTGGATTGGCCCCATCAGTGGAAAATTCATGAAGAGATATTATCCCTAAAGAAAACAAATACGCTTCTTAACACACGAGCATAAATTGCACGTTACTCTTGGTCCGCAAGAGTATAAACTGTGTATGGCCCAAAAGAAAGTTCGCTAGGTTGAAAACCTCGAAAGAGGTGGCTTAGACAAAAGTTAAGACATTTAAAAAAAACTGACCCATTTCGAACTACGGTATGACTTGATCCTCTTCACCGAGGTACGTAGGCAGCTTAGATTTTCATTCTAAGTTCAGTCACATGAGTTTAAAAATATATATTACCCAAGGCATTATTCGAATGAAGTATGATGGAATATAATTCACTTGATTGACACTTGAAAATTAGGTGTTCATGTATTCTTTCATTGAACTTTCCGCCTTATAAGAAATTAATGGCTCAATGGGAGCAAGTCTTCTATGTCACATCGAGGTCTCTGATGGAATAGCTGTAGCCTTTTAGTAAGAGGCTAAATCTTCAAGCTGAAGTCTCCAATTCTAAGTCAAGTTGATTTTGTGAAGTATGGTACATCATAAATTTGAAGTATTCAAGCCCTCTAGGTCTTAAAGTTGCAGTCTTCAAATCCGCCAAATTTTATAGGTCGAAGTCTTCAAATCCAACAAGTTCAAGTTGAGGCTTTCAAATCGCCAAGTCTTCAAGCTAAAATCTTCAAATTTGTCAAGTCGTCAAGTTGAAGCCTCCAAGTATGCCATGTCTTCAAGTCGAATTCTTCAAGTTGGCTATATCTTCAAGTTGGACTCTTCGAATTTAACCTTCAAGTTGAATTCTTCAAATCCGCCAAATCTTCAAGCTGAAATATTCAAGTCTACCAAGTCTTCAAACATGCCAAATGAAGTTGAAATCTTCAAATCCGCCAAATCTTCAAGTAGAAACTTTCAAGTTTGTCATGTCTTCAAGTTGAAATCTGCAAGTTAAATTCTTCAAGCACCAAGTTTTCAATTGAAAGCCAATAAGCCGTCATAATGGTCTTGAAGTCTTCAAATTGATATAGCCTCAATTTTTTAGTTGGAAGCTTCAACAAATCTCCAAGTATATGGTAGATTTCTTTGATATAGTCCGCACCATCTTTAAATATTTATATCTTGAATTCTTGAAAGAAGGTTTTAATATATCTTTAAATCTTCAACTAAAAGTATTTAAAATATTGGCTTGCATGACTTGATTTATGTTGCAGTTTCTCTTTACTAAAGTGGTTTTTTTAGAATTGATTTCTTCTTCTACCTGCAAAAAAAAAAGAGAAACATAAATTGAAGAGATATTCTTGGTGGTCAGCTTTTTGAAAAAAAAAAATCTTGCTTCATATAATCTCTGGTTCGTGTAATCGTGTATCTCAAAATGAGGACGAGTTTTCGTTCCTTTGCGCCAAAAGGTCAAATTAAAGTAAAATCTGTAAGTTAGACTATATAATGGTCGTCGCTGGTCTTCATCTTGGACAAAATAAAGTCTTTAGCTTAAATAGTGTAATGATTTTCGCTTCAGGCAAGGTAAAATCTTTGGTTGCCTCAGATAAATAAAGTTTTTAGCTTAAACGATGTAATGGGTTAAAAAAAATATTTGATGAGTCTTTTCTTCACCCTTGTTATCATGCACATGCTTGTTTCTAAAATAACTGGTGTAATACTCATTCTCGTGCCTATATCAACAGAATTGCACTCATGTATAGGACTCAAGAATTAAGACCTTTGGCCTTTAATAGAAAATTATGATGAAACTTTCAGTTGATTGAAAGTTTGGGTCCATATATTACACTGATGATATACCAAGGTCCTTATTAGATAAGGAAAATCAAAGATGATACTAAAACAAGTTGCTATCGGGAAGAAGAAAAGAAAGAATGAGATGAAAGTTTCAAGATTTCTGTTGAGCAGTAATATGAATAAACGAAATTTCTAACCAGTCAGTGTATCATCAAATGATGGCGATTAAAATAAAGCTTCTTCTTTGAAACGCTGAACTACTTGATGAATACCGCTGAAATCTTTATTTAGTGCAAATTCCTACCAGAAGCCTACTTCTCCTAAGAAATATTTCTCGGGCGCAAGGGCATTCACCCGAACCTTTTCGCGAAAAATTACACTGTGTATATAAAGCAAAATTTGATTTTTTACCTTTATATATTATATTTTGAATCCTCTTTACACAGCCCAAAAGCATGGTTTAGTGGTCAAGGGGGTTCAAAACCATTATGAGGTCATTGGCACAATTTCCACTAGCTACAATCTCATTAAATTTTTTAACTTATATTCCTTTTTTGGACCCCCTTAGCAAAAGTTCTGCCTCCGCCACTGGTGATGAGTAGGGGTGTACAAAGGAAACCGACAAACCGCACCAACCCGATAATTCGAGTCAAACCGAGAAAAAAAAAACCCGACTATGGTTTGGTTTGATTTGGTTTGGTGTTGGAAAACGAACCCGACCATAATTGATTTGGTTTGGTTTTAACTAAAGAAAGTCAAACCGAAACCAAACCAACCCGACATTACATATATAGAAATTTTAGATATATTTAATATATAAATATAATTATTGTGACGTAATTTATAAATATTTCTTAAAAGATTTCATAATTTTATCTTTTGAGGTATTATTTCAAGGTTGGACTTAGAACTTTTGAATGTTCCAATAAGTTTTATAGCCATTAACATTAGTAAATTAAATAGTGCTAACAAAAGCCCAAACCAAAATCAAATTAATACTAATGCTAATAAAAGACATTCAATTCAATACTACGAATGAGAATGTATTGAATATCTATTTTTTGTTTTGCAATAATTCAGATAAAAATGTATAACCTATTTTTATTTTTTCTTTAGCGCTTAATCATGTAATTAATACTCCCTTATTAGTCTACTTATTTTAGCATGACTTAGTACTTTTAGATTATGTTTATTTTTATTATGGTTTTTTAATTAGCAATATTAATATTACATAATTTTATTGTCTTTATTGTTGAATATTTTAGGATAATGCCATGAAATATCTCACATTTTGTATTATTTTCTTGGAAAATACTTTATATAGTTGCATCTTACTAGGACTAAAGAAATATTTTGAGCACAATTTATATGGTTTGTTCTACGAAGATTTTACCGGAAAAAACCCGAATAACCCAAAAACCCGAGAAAATCCGAGAGTGAAAAACCCGAGTTTTATTGATTTGATTTGGTTTTTATATTTAATAACCCGACACAATTGGTTTGGTTTGGTAATTATAAAATCCGAATCAACCCGACCTATGTACACCCCTAGTGATTAGGCTTCATTTTGGTCCATGAACAATTCATTTATTTGAACCAAAAATGGTTATACGACTAAGAGGGTGTTTGGCTAAGAGCCCGTTTGAAAAGTACTCATTTTGAAAAGTGCTTTATGAAAAAGTACTTTTGCAAAATAAGTAGTTTATGTTTGGCCGATTCGTTTGAGTAGTGCTTTTTACAAGCTCATCGTGTTAGCCAATCTTTTAAAAAAGTACTTTTAATTATCAAATTACGAAAAATGACAGTAAAGTTTCAATTTGCAATTAGTATTATTTAGAAAAGAAAAATAAATTTACACATTTATTAGAAAAGAACTCAATTAAAATATAAAACATAAAGTAAAAAATATAAATTAAAAATTCTAATTAATATAAAATATAGTTATTCCAAAGCAATAATATTGAGTGTTTGGTATTACTTATTATTTACAAGATAATTTAAATATGTCAAAATACATCATTCAATATAAATTTAAAATCTACTCTTAAGAATAGGAGAAAGAGAATAAAAATTGGATTAAAATAAAAAAGAGAATAAATGTATAGCAGAAAAAAAAAAGGAAAAGGAAAAGAAAAAGAAAAATTAAATTAATGAGGGATAATTTGAAAAATATAAATTTATTGTAAGGTTATTTTTGTCTTGAATAAATTAACTTTCTACTTCTGCTTCTACTTTTTGGAAGAAGCTAGAATTTGTAGCTTCTCCCCAGAGGCAGAAAAACTGCTTCTGATGCTGCTAAGAAGTACTTTTTCATTTTGGCCAAACACCTTAAATTTTTCATAAAGTACTTTTTTGGCCAAAAAAAATATTTTTGGCCTCCTAGAAGCTTGGCCAAACATGCTTTAAGCTTATAAGCTGGTCAAACTGGCTTATAAATACTTTTTGGCAATCAGCTATAAGTCATAAGTTGGTCACCCCAACTCAGAGGCGGATCCAGGATTTAAAGTTTATGAGTTCTTATATCGACCTTAAGTAAATATACAATAAATAATTGGGTTCATAATTAAAAAAAATATGGATATTTAGTGAATGTTTTAACATATATCCAGGGTATGTGCAAAAGCTACTAGGTTCACGGGAACCCACATGTAATAGGTTGCATGCGCCCCTGCCCCAACTTATGATTTTTTAGCTTATGAGCACCTTTAATTTAATCAAGGTTTTTTACTAGTTTATCCTTAATAATATTTTTCAATTCACAAAATATTTTCCCAAAATAAATTTTCTAACTTTCTTTTCATTTCATATTCGTTGTTCATCTTTTTCTTTACAAAGAAATTTTTTAATTTATAATTTTTGTAAAGTTTTTAAGGATATTTTAATCATTTTAATAAAAGAACAACTTATCAGCACTTTTCTACCAAACACTTCAACTGTTTATTATCAGTTTCAGCACGTTTATTCAAACACGTAAATGTTTATTTAGAAAATTAATTTCAGCACTTCAACCTTATCAGCTATTTACAATCAGCTAATCCAAACAGGCTCTGACCATCTTTTAAGACATATTTTGGTTCCAAAACAGGAAGATAAAAGGACACGAGGTATATTTTCTTAATACTTCAAGCAGTGTCCTTAGGTCCGAAAATGTTTTACGTCTCCGCAGGTCTTGAAGTAGGGATACGCATATGATTTTTGTGAATTAAAGTCCATATTAAATTGGGACATCTTCCTAGATTCCAGAAATACCAGGTCCAAATTAAATTTAATTATCTAAGTCCATCATGGATTTAATTAAAATCTAATTTTATTTGGACCAATCCATTTAGTTGGATTGTAAAAGATGAGCCTATTTTACTAGCCCAAGGTCCAAATAGTTGGTCTTAAATCTCATACTCATGCCACGTGTCAAGTGATGTGGCAATTCAAGCCAAATAAATGAGCCAATAAAATCATGATATGTGTCAAGTGATGCGGCTATCTAAGCCAACAAAATCATGTCATGTGTCAAGAAAGGGTGGAATACCAAGTCAAATCAACAACCAATAGAATTGTGCCAAGTGTCTAGATGGTATTGGCCGGTTCGAACGGACCAATCAAATCGCATAGCCACACCACTTTCTACAACTATAAATAGAGGTTTTCATAAAGCTAGAAGATACCAGAAGTGATAACAAGAAGCAAGGAGAGAGCTCGTGGATCAAACACCGCAGATTTCTCTACAAGCTACAAGTTCAAGATCAAGAACGAAGGCAAATCAAATACCAAGGCGTTCGAGATCAGATTACTTGTTTGTGGTCAAATTCAAATTCAAGTTCAAGAAGGAGATTCAAGACCAAACTTTACAAGCTCTTGAATCAAAATCAAAATCAAGTTCATCAAGATAGTTTATATTCTTGAAGAATAAGAGAAATACTATAGAGATTGTAACACTCAATATTTATTAAAATCAAGTACTATATTTGTTGAGCAATTTTCCAGTCTTGATTATTTATTTTTCTCGACGAGAAAATTTGTTGTTATATTGGAAAGTTTCCTCCTATTTTTTTGTGGTTTCTTTTTATTTCATAATATTTTGTGTCTTTATCTGAAAAATATATTTATCACATAATTATACTAAAAATAAACTTAACTGATTTTAAACTCCTAAATTTTATTTTAAAAAATTATTTTTACAATTTTGTTCAATATACAATATATTTTTAAAGGTTAAAAAGATGAATGATAATCCGCTATGATCAAATAAAAGGGTAATATCATTATTATATAAGAATAATAACTTTTTATTAATTAAAGGAAGGCAGGTAATGAATATAAGGAAATAAAGAAGAATTTAACATTTATTGAAATTTCTAGATAATCGTTCCTTCAACACAACTAAGCACACACTCTATTGGTGTAAAATGGAGTATAAAAACTTATGCTAAGTTTTTTCTATTTTTCCGGAGAATTAAAAAATAAAATCTAATTTATCAAAATTCTAAATAAATATTTTATGTAAAAAATGAAATTAAGTTACTTTTATAAGAAAAGAGATTAAAATCACATCTCTGCCTTTTTCTTTCTTTCTTTCTCTTTTCTTTTCTTTGGTTGAGGTCTAATATTAGAACTTTTTTCTTAGATATTTTATATGTTTGTTTTTAGCATGGTGATGGAATTTATTCTTTGTAAGCTAAGTATATGAAATTCTTATTTGTTCATGCAAAATTCATCAAAATTATAGGTAAGCTAAGAAACTTATTCTTGTGTAAAAAAAATGCCTAGATTCTTATTCGTCAAGTCTAAATCTCCTTCTTTAATACGTTCACCCAAGATCAGTAAGAGTTAATACTACCCTAAACTCTTGGGAATAAACTCTTCCATTGACGAAATTGATATTTATTAATGAATTCATAGTGCTGAGGAGAGAACACAAATTTTCAAAATTATTTATATAAAAAAAAGAAGATAAATTTATATTTATTTCAAAGTTCCAACTATATGAGTTAACTTTTAGTTTGAATATTAATTGTAGCTAAACTTTTACCTAGTATGGCTATAGCTTAATTTATTTTTGAAATTAACATTACAATGTTAGTTCAAACTTTTAGATATTTATACTTAAAATTAAATTAAACTCTTAAAAAAGTTAAATGGAGAGAAAGAACATAGGTGGTGCCCCATGATTTTAGGTACTCAATCGTTGATATACCTCAGGCTAAGAATTTTTTTGAAAAAAAATCATTTTAATTGGCTCCTATTAAACTCTAAAAGCATTTTTGAATCTCATAAGGGTATAAAATTTTTGATCAAATAATTAAAGAACTTATATAAGGTAAAGTTTTAATGAATTTGTAGTCCTAAATATTAGGACCTTCTACATAGTTTAAATAAGAAAAATAATTAATAAGCAAAATTTTAGTTGCTTTTGAAGTTCTAAATATTAGAAAATTAATTAAGAAATAACTTAATTACAATTTTATCCAATGTAAAACATTTTGTGCTTATAATATAGTATGGATATACAGATAGATAAAAATATAATATTTTAATAGAATTTTCTGTAGATTATTTTCACCGCATAAGCATTCCCGTTAATTCCTTTTTTTTCTTTAACCACAATTAACAGTTTTTTTTAGTTGTCTCCAACTCTGGACTCATAAGGTGGAAGTGGAATATATGGGTCAAGAGCCTAATCAAGTTCCGGGTGATTTTGCTTATTTGCTTAATCTATGTTTCTATAAACTGTTGTGGGGTTATAACAAAAGCCCTCATGTTGGCCCTCATTCCTTTCTAATACTAATATGAGTATTTCACTAGTATAATCCATCTTCCCTGTCTGTCTGCCGTAAATTTGTACATTAATTTTGAAGCAAATAGAGACTCCGACACAACCCTCGGCATATGGAACTCAACGAATTATTTTTCGTATTTTATCCCGTATTGAACAAGTCTTAGAAAAAAACAAAGATGCAACAAAGTATTAAAAGATTAAAAAATGTAAAGAAAGGAAAAGAAGAATGAATAACTCTTCCAACGACTGAACCTTGTTCCGACTCTTACAAACAGAAGCATTACAATTTAAACCCTCACCATCAGAGTGAGTCAGTCCACACAACGTCCAACCATCTTCCAACTGCAAAAACCTAACAGTTCAAGTAGGCTTTAAACAGACATCTTTGCAAGGGGAAGAGCTATTTGACGAGACTTCATCAAATGATTTTACAAGAAGGAACTAGATAGACTAAACTCTAAAGATACAGCAGGTAATTATTCAGGATCGAAGAACAAATCAATATACTGCCCCGTCGAAGGGAAATGAAATATTTTTGATGATTTGAATTGGATCAAGAAACGGGGAAGAAAAACAACAGTGATATCAAATAAAATGGCAATACCATTTTACCGACATTTCAGACCAATCACTAGAAGCTATAAAGCATCTGCAGAATTGCCATTCGAAGTCCGGCATATCAAAAAGGAAGCATCTAGTACAACAGAAAGACAAATAACTAATCACCGCTAGCTTGTCTACAGTAATAAAAACAAGCATTTACGGGGAAGTTCTCAAAAACAAAAACAAAAACATCATCATTCTCTTCCACTGTCATCTTCACCCATTGGCGCTTTAACGTCAAGTGTAAAACTATACTCCTGGTCACAACCCAGATAAGAATCGCACATGAAATAGAGTGTGTAGGTCCTCGTTACAGCTTCTGCAGGCGCAGCAAAATCTAGCTTGACCCTAGACTTCCTTTGGAGGGTAACTCTCTTAATGGCCAGTAATTGGTTGCTCTTTGTATCTCCGACAACAAGCCACCATCCTTCTTCCTTGGCTTTGGGATATTTAGGTGCAAAAACAGGTCCAACCTCTGTTCTACCCTCAAGATCTCGCTCAAGGGTTACCTGCACACTTACATCGTCTCCAGCACTCACATTATCACTGTCCAACACCTCATACGTCAGATCGATGTTTGGAAACCGATTACAGAACCGGGCAATATCCATAAGCTGTAAGTCAGACATTTGCAAGAGCTCACGCCTCTCGTCATCTTCCAGCTCCACTAAATCAAAAACTGTCTCTACACTCTTTCCTGGATTTTCTTGGCACTTCTTAGCCAAATCCTTCGTGAAGTGGGGAAGCTGGAGAAGCATCGAGTCACGTTCCCACATTCCCTGTGTCACCATTTGGCTCACCTCCATTGCTAGAAGTGCTAGACTAAGCCACCCATTACTGGAAATAACATCAACCATTGCTTGAAGCAGCCTAGTAGAAGAAAGAAGCACCTCTTGCTGGTCAGAAGCAAGATTTCCACCCAGCACTTGCCTAGAGAAATGGGCTTGTAAAAGAGCATTAGCCTTGATGTGAGGATCTGTGTATTTCGGATTTTCAAAGGAGAAACGCAGNCGTCTCTTTCAGCATAGGTTCATTGATCCTCTCCGCGAAAGGCTCCAGCTCTTCTGCAGATCGTAGCAGGAAAATTGGTGTGTCTTCACTGTCCATGCTTGAATAAGTCATCAGATCTACAGCAGTCAAGCGTGCATGCTTCCTCGTGGGAACATACACAATTGCAGGTTTTCCCTTCCTTGCATGTTGGACTATTGCAGTATAGGTGGGTTTTGCCATGGCTTGCATCCTAGCTTCAAAGTTAGCAATATCAACACCCTGAATGTGTATCTCTAGTGGCACAGGCCTGACACCAGGAGGAAAGTTGAAGAGCCCATGAGACGTAGCCCCAATCCATTCTCCCAAATCCTTGGCATTAGCTAGGGAGGTTGACAAAGCAACGATACGGATCTTATTATCAATCTGGCTTGAAATATATCTCATCCGAGAGACGATCACCTCCAGGATTGGACCACCTTGACCA